ACACACACACACACACACCCCATTCCTCTGTTCCACCCTCTCTTCCCACCAAGGGCATCTCCTATTTCCTTCCCTGTCTATCCTCACTCTTGTTTATTTTCCCCTGTACCTTCTTTTCTCCCATTTTTCACTCCTCACCCTTTCCTCCTGCCTTCCCTCCAACCCCGACCTTCACCCCCATTGTTCTGCCAGCACTGCCTTTCTGCCATCCTGTCCCACCCCGTGTCCGCACCCCACTTCTCTCCTGCACAGCTATACCCCCCCCCACCCTCCGCCATGTCTCCCTCCATATCTCCTCCTTCCATCTTCCCTGAGCGGCTCCCTCATCTCTCTCGGCTCTCAGTCTCTTTTCCTCCCACACCTGGTATCTGCAGCTGCTCCCTCTCCCCTTGAGGCCATCACATCCCTGCCCTCCCCATTCCCATCCTGTCCCCCAGTACCCCATCTTCTTGCTACTCCAACAGCTGAGAGGCCCCATCGGACAACCAAATAACGGGATAATCGACAGGGCAGGCGGGCGTCTCTGCAGGCTGGTGACATTCCTATCCCGCCTCAGAACAAATAGCCCTGTGATTTATGGTACAGTTTATGAAAATCATTTCATGTACTGCCAGGTCCAGGGACCATCAGCTTGCCGAGCCCTGCAGCTGCACATTTTCATCTGTCTGCAGCTCATCAACTGGGACAAGGGGACACAGGGACACTTCCCCTGACTTGGAAGGGCGCGTTCATTCTCCCTTCCCTCTTCTTGGTTCTCCTCCCTCTGCTTCTGTCTCTCCCTTTCTTTCTCTTTTTCTCTGTCTTTCCCTAAGTCTCTCACTCCTTCCCTCCGTCTTTGTCTCTCTCTCACCCTCTCTCTCTCTCTCCTTTTCTCTCTCCCTAAGTCTCTCCGTCTCTCCTTCTCTCTCTGCCTGTCTCTCTCTCCTCTCTCCCTCCGTCTCTCCTTTTCTCTTACTTCCTCTATCTCTCTAAATCTGTCTCTCTCCTTCTCTCTCCCTCCCTGTCTCTCCTTTTCTCTTACTTCCTCTCTCTCTAAGTCTCTCTAAGTCTCTCTCTCTCTCTCTCTCTCTCTCTCTCTCTCTCTCTCTCTC